CTCTCTGTGTTGGCCAGTGCTGGGATAAGGAGGCAAATGCTATATCGCCTGTGAAGAAAACTGGTATAATAATCCTCTTTGGTGGGGGTGATTTGGAAATCTATATTAAGAACCTTAAAACTGTCTTTTGAATCCAAAACACATCTAGGAGTTTATCTTTTTTTTTTTTTTTAAGATTATTTATTTATTTATTTGACAGAGAGAGATCACAAGTAGACAGGCAGGCAGAGAGAGAGAGAGAGGGAAGCAGGCTCCCTGCTGAGCAGAGAGCCCGATGCGGGACTCGATCCCAGGACCCTGAGATCATGACCTGAGCCGAAGGCAGCTGCTTAACCCACTGAGCCACCCAGGCGCCCTAGGAGTTTATCTTTAATAAATAATCAGAGATGTATGGAATGATCTATTAGGAAAAGGAGGAAACAACCTTGATCTCCAAAATACGGCACTTGCTGAAGTGATACGTAACAGTCAATAAAAGGAATACAATGTAGTCATTAAATACGCTCTAGGAGGATAATAATGGTTTGAAAAGTTGCTCACAACATATTTTAGGACACAGAAGTTACATAAGAACCCACTTTTGTGAAAGGAAGAAATGTGTACATTAATTACATTGAATCTAAGATACTGTCAATTATTAAATATATCATTTTTTTGCCATTAGGAAACAAACAAACAAATGTTCCCAATTAAACCATGAGCCACAGATTGTAGGATACATCATGACTTCAGAGATGTCAAAATTAAATATGTATCCTAGAATTAATAAAATACTATATTGTGTCATATTCCTTTCATTGTAAAATAAGCTGCCCCTCCCATTTTAATACAGTCTGTTAATTTTAGGGAAGCATTTTATGATCAAGGTATACATTTAGTGTAGTGTTTCTCCCACCACCACCACCCACCTACAAATCATTAGGATCAAGAAAATATTCGATATGGATCATATCTGCATAAAACATTTGTAAGGAGTCAATTATACTTCACGTAAAAACAACACAAAACAAACAATCATAAGGATATATGCCAGAATATTAACAGTAGTTTTCTCTGAATGTTAAGGTTGCAGAGAATTTTTATTTTCTTACTTTGTTTTTCCTATAATTTCTATATTTTATTTAAAAAGCTTAAAAATCTGAATAAGACAACACCATGAATTCTCAGATTAGTCCAATCTCATGGAGAAATAAGCAGGATCACTCAAGCTAAGGTATCATGGGTTCCTATTCTCTGTCCTCCCGAAAACTGGGCACACTCAGAATAGAAAGCACGAGGAGTCGAGAGCAACTAGTTCATCTACCACCCTTGGGGGTTCATCCACTTTAAAAGACCGTGTCCATGAAAGACAGCTCCTTGGTAAATTGATCTTACCTACCTACTTCACCTTCATCCCTTTCCAACACCCAATCAAACCTCTAAGAGAGATGGCAAATAGCTCTTCTTTTAAATGCCAGTTTTGATGGATTAGTAAGGGCTTCTTGGAGCACCCTGATAGAAAAACTCCTTAGGCTAAGTTGGAGTTCAGGAAGGAGTTGCCCAGTTGATTAACTATACCTGGAAGGGATCTCGGTAGTCTAAGTATTACATATGTGCCAGCCCTGAAAAGATTGTCTCTACTTTATTCTTGCTCCTTTATCTTTAAGGAGACCACCTATTTTTTCCAACCAGTAAAATTCAAGAGATCCTAACCAGACTAAGGATTATATTATAAGGGCCTGGATTGTTGCTGTTAATGCTAAACTAAGTCCATCCTGACAAAGACAATGCAAACTTGCAAGACAGCCTACACACTACGGCATTATATTTTAAAGCTGAATATCACATACATTATGATCGGGTAATTTTCACTCCTAGGATACACACGTAATGTATCTGTTTACCAAGAAATAAAATAAAAAATGTTCTTTGCAACCACTTGCAGAAGAATGGAAAAATAAAGTGTGGTACAAACCGACACTTTAGTAACACAAAACCATATGGATGAATAAGAAAGCTAACATTGAGTGAAAGAAGCAAGTGGCATAAAGTCATATGTGATATTATACCCTTGTTTCAAAGATCAAAAATAAAACACAAAAACTAAATTATAAATTGTTTAGGAATAGGTACACATGTGATAAAACTATTAGTCAAAAGCCAAGGGAATAATAACATAAAATTCAAGATACTAGTCACCTTTGTGACAAGCCGGGGATTGGATAGGGAAAGATAAAGATGCAATATAATGGCATACTCTAGTTAAGCAGGATGATGGTTTCATGGGTGCTCATTTATTATGTTTCCTAGATGTTCATTTATTGTTATGTTTCATACATACATTCAAGATTCATACATTCATTCATACATACAATATAAGTCATGTATTGTTGGAAAGAATTTTCATTTAATATAGCACTCAACTAAAAATAAAATCTTTCCTCCTGTTTATGTTTGGAGGGTAGGGTAGAAAGCCTGGCTTGCAATAACATGGATTAGAATGTGCCTCTTCTGTGAGTCACTCAGTCCTACCTCCCCACTTGGGTTTCTCTTCTACAGCGGCTGAGTCTCCTAGGAGGCTAAAATGGGAGGACATGATGGGCAAAGGTTTCCTTTGCTGCCTCTCCAGGCTGTCCCAGGTACACCCAAAGAGCAGCCCCTTCATCTTTGCAGGGACAAATTTGGGAAAAATCACTTTTTAAAAGTATCTCTTCTAGATTTTTTTCAATCATTTTAAAGATCATTTACCCTAATAATCTCAGTTTTTATTATTATAATAGTAATATAACATTTTGTTAGCATGTAATCTCAATGTACACTAAAGTTGTTTTGTAGTTACAACTTCAAATGAATGATGATCTATTTACGGTAAGAAACACATGTAAACATCCCAAATGTTCAGTCATAAAGAAGTGGTAGGCAGCCATTAAATACTATATTATGAAGGGAATTTAGTATCAAAGAAGCAGCTAAATTATTAAATGTAAAACATCATTGTTTCTATAATAAGATCCCAGCTGTGTAGTAAAAATGAAACCTATGTTTTAAAATAAGCTGGAAGGACATATACAACAATGTTTAGGGTTAGTATCTTTGTGTGAAGATATATATTTTTATTTCTTAGTTTTCCTTTTTTTTTTTTTTTAAAGATTTTATTTATTTATTTGACAGAGAGAGAGCACAAGCAGGGGAAGCAGCAGAGGGAGAGGGAAAAGCAGGCTCCCCATTGAGCAGGGAACCCAACCTTGGGCTCAATCCCAGGACCTTGAGATCATGACCTGAGCTGAAGGCAGAAGCTTAACCCACTGAGCCACCCAGGTGCCCCAACTCCAAACATTCTTAAAAGGGATACTAATTGGCTATTAGGGAACTGGAGGCACCCATGGAAGTATCCTATATAAGGCAATGTGGCCATTCAGTGGTAGCACCAAGATCAGAGTTGAGAGTTTCCCAGCTTTTCAGTCTTAATTCCAAATTCAAATGACTCCTCAACTGCACTCATCTCCAGCCATGAAACATACACATGTAAATTAATCAAGTAAGATAAGCTCCCACTGAAGAGGTATTCCTGTCACCTCAGCCCCCCCCTTATAGTCCTCAGGTGACAGTCAGCCATATATTCCATTCACTGCCTTCTCCCTAAGGTCCTGGTACACGGGAGAAATGAAAATCTGAATACTAATCAAATTATCTCTGAAAAGCAGTGCCCATTCTCAGGATGGTAAATACACTGAGCCAACCACAAAGCCTAGATTGTCAGAGGCCAGCTTGATTCAGACCATACCAATGTGAGACAGGTCACCCCATCCTTGGGCTTGGAGAATATTGTTATAATTTAATCACTTGGCCGTTTGTTTGTTTTTTTTTTTAATAAAGATTTAATACTAATTTAAAAGTTTGGTAGTCAAGTAGAGACATGGTTGTGGGGAAACAGGGATGTAAATTTAATGCAGCTGCTTTGGAGAGCCTATTAAAATAGAAATAGCACACTTTATGGCACAATTCCTCTTCTAGCCATATATCCTGAAGAATAACCACACACGTGTACAAGTGGGCATGATCAAGGATTTTAACTGCAGAAATGTTTGTTTTTATGAAAAACTGGAAACCACCAAATGTCTCTCAAAAGGGAAGTGGATAGATAAGTTTTCATGTATTTATAGGGTAGAATATCTACAGCAGTTAAAATTGGCAATCCACACAGCATATGGGTCAACATGGATAGATCTACACGTGGGTAAAAGAAAAGATCTTCAAGGATTTAAAATAATTATCTATAGACTTATAGTTTCCATAGACATATCTAAAACATGTTGTTTAGTGAAAAGAGTAAGTTCCAGAATGACATTTGAAGTATGACACCACCTCTGTTAAAAAAAAAAAAAAAGACAAACTACAGCTATACATTTCTGATAAATGCAGATATACGTGCATCATAGTACAAGAACATTCTTGAAGGAAACACATTAAAATCATAACAGGTATTACCTCTGAGGAAAGAGACGACTGGGGTTAGCGGTGGGAGACGTAAAAAGGGCTTTCAGTTTCATTGGTGATACTCTAATTTTTCAAATGTAAATGGATTCCAGTGTTGTATATTTACAATTGATTTTTTAAAGTCTCTGCAATTACTTTATGCTCTAATATATTGATTATACTCAAGAAGCTAAAAACATGGAGCCTTCTGTAAGAAAATGTTTCCTACAGCACCACACCCACCTTTCCATTCCCCTTCTCTCTGCCCTTCCCACACACAGAACACCCATTCAGCCAAGTTCAACGGGACTGTGAGAAAGTACCCCAAAGCCTTTGTTCACCTTTACAACCCTCCCAGGGACCAGAGTAAATCACATTAGCAATGACTCTTTGCAGAAAAAGTGATGCCAGGAAACAGCTGTCAGAAGTGCCATTTTGTTAAAAATGATCACATGGATTCTATCCCTTTCCCTGATGATTTTGAGAGCAAAGGATTTTAGACCCACACCAATAGAGAAAAGGCGACACCGCCCCACATTTCATACCTGTCAAAAACCACTGCGGAATAAGCCCGCTCAGCGAAGATGACATCCGCAGCCCAGAACTCCTTAGTGGCCTTCAGACCTCTGCCCTTGCCCTCAGAAGTGAAGACCTCCACGTTCTCCATGCTCCCTATTGTCATCTCAGAGTCCTTTAGGCAGCTCCGTGGGTATTTCACACTCAGCCAAGTCCCTTGTCCTTGCTATTTCAGCACCTTCAGCATCCCAAAGAGCAAGCCTATAAATGGACAAGCACCTCCCCTTCCCTACCCCCTCTCAGCCACTGGGGCCTCACCTCCCCCTCTGCCGTGTTTCCTGGAGGTGGGAATGGGGCAGGCAAGATGACAGTGATCTGACAAGGGTCTCATTCATCACCCAGCAAAGCTGACAAGGCAGAAATGACCATGGGCTGGTATGCCCCTCGAATGGGGACGGAAAACTTTGAAAAATTCCTTTGCAAGAAGCAGATCAGTTCCGGATGGCAGTTGTGCTCAGCTTTAGTTGGAATAAGGAGCACTTGGTCAGTAGGGTATTTTTAGCAGCCAGATGCCTCTGTCAATCCAAAGCAGACAGCTGAAATGGTCCAAGAGAAGAGGTGATGCTTGCTGCTCTGGGAACTTTCAGCTGTCAGGCTTATACTTTCTCAAGTGTGATGGGCCCCTGTCTCCCTCCCTCCTCCCCCATAGGCAGACTGTTTGCAGAATACAGCAGATGCCAAACTGACCCCCTTGGCAGATACATAACAGTACTATTTAGGCTCCTGGAGGCATCCCTCTTCTCCAGTACTATCTGGTGCTCCCACAGCACCCCCACCCAGGGCATGGAGGTCTGGGAGCTCCCTGATGATGCGGGTGTGCTGGTGGAGGCTGTATTAGAGAGAGGAGGCAGACTTTGAAAAAGAGAACACTCATTTCTATTTTTTTATCAAATTTCCCTGAAACATGTATCTGCTCCCCAAAAAACACCAACATCCTCTTTCTTCTTTCCTAGGAATGAGGACATGGGAAGGGCAATTCTAAAACGTCCATTGACTTAAATTCCACTGTTCTTTTTTTTTTTTTTTTAAAGTAAACTCTGCACCAGATGTGGGGCTTAAACTCACAACTCAAGAGTCATATGCTCTAGCGACTGAGCCAGCCAAGTGCCCCTAACTGCCACTCTTCTTGATTACGAGACAGCCGATATTAAAGTTGAAAAGACAGGGCACCTGGGTGGCTCAGTCATTGGGTGTCTGCATTTGGCTCGGGTCATGGTTCCAGGGTCCTGGGATCCGGCCCTGTGTAGGGCTCCCTGCTCAGCGGGGGGGCCTGCTTCTCCCTCTCCCACTCAACTGCTTGTGTTCCTTCTCTCGCTGTGTCTCTCTCTGTCAAATAAATAAATAAAATCTTAAAAAATAAAGTCGAAAAGACAAATACCGTATTATTTCACCTACATGTGGAATCTAAAAAAAACAAACAAAGCTGAAACAGACCCACAGATACAGAGAACACATTGGTGGCTGCCAGAGGGGAGAGGGCTGGGGGACTGGGCAAAAGGGGAAAGGGACATGTGGGATTCTGGTTATGGGATGAATAAGTCAAAGGGATGAAAGGTCCAGCACAGGGAATACAGTCAGTGGTACTGTAATAATGTTGTGTGGTGACTGATGGTAACTGCACTCATGAGCATAGGGTAACATACAGAGTTGTCAAATCTCTACATTGTGTGCCTGAAACGAATATAACATTGCATGTCAATGCTACTTCAATTTAAAAAAACAAAACAAGGGGCCCCTGGGTGGCCCAGTCAGTTAAGCAGCTGCCTTTGGCTCAGGTCATGATCCCCGGGGCCTGGGATCAAGCCCTGCATGGGGCTCTCTGCTCAGCAGGTAGTGTACTTCCCCCTCTCTGCCTCTCTGATTACTTGTGTTCTGTGTCTGTCAAATAAATAAATAAAATCTTTTTAAAAAATAAATAAATAAAATCTTTAAAAAAAAACCAATGTTGTTTAAAAAAACAATTAATTAATTTAATTAAATCAAGTTAGGTTCCCCAGAGAGTAAACATCACATGTTCCCAATGGGGGGGGGATAAAAAAAGATTAAAAAGGAGCTCTTCAATCCAGGTTAGCTTCAAATGAATACCTGGACCCACACTGCCTGGCAACTCGGGCCTTGCAGCAACAGGTCTTCACTCAGGAGCCCGTGGCTCAGCCTGGGAGGGATTAGGTTGTTCTCTAGACACCATACCCCTGGAACAAGTTCAGCCCCAGCCAAGGTCAAGAAAGAAATCTAGCTGCCCCAAGTCAGAAAGAGAGGGAGCATCAAACCTAATGCTTTATTTATATCTGCGAGTGTCAACCTTATCAAAGCAAGTATTATATTAAAGTGTGGTAGACCAAACAAAGGCCCCCAAAGATGTCCAGGTCCTACTCCCCAGACCCAGGTATATGTTATTTTACGTGATAAAAGAAACTTTGCAAATGTGATTAAGGATCTTGAGAGAGAGAGATTATCCTGGATTATCCAGGTGGGCCCAATGGAATCACAAGAATCCTTATAAGAGGATGGCAGGGGGTCAGAGTCAGAAAAGGAGATATAACAATGGAAGCAAGAGGGCAGAGTCAGAGAGACGTTTGAAGATACTATATTGCTGGCTTGGAAGATGGAGGGATGTGTCATGAGCCAAGAAATACAGGTGGTCTCTAGAAACTGGAAAAGGCAAGGGAATGGCTTCTCTCCCTAGAACCTCTAGAAGGAGAACAGCCTTATTACACCTTGATTTAAACCCAGGGAACCCCATTTCTGGAGTTTGACCACCAACCTGCAGGATAATAAATTTATTTTATTTTAAGCCACTAAATAATTTGTTATGGCAACAACAGGAAACAAACATATAAAATATTATCATTTCACATTCTAATAAATATTATATAACCACCCTTTTGCTACTCTGAAATGAAATGGCATATAAAATTTACTAGCTCTTATATCTAAAAAATATAAATTATTAATCCTGTAGTCTGAATGTTTGTGTATCTTACTCCCCTCCATCCCATCCCAAATTGCAAAATGTTGAAAGTCCTCATCCTCTAAGGTAATTGTCTTAGTAAGTGGGGCCTTTAGGAGGGGCTTAAATCATGAACATGGAGCCCACATGAATAAGAAGCTCCGGAGAGGTCCCTAGGCCCTTCTGTTACGTGAGGACTACAAACGACCTGGAAGAGAGTCCTCACCTAACTGTGCTCGTGCCCTGGTCTTGGACTTCTAGCTTCCAGAACTATAAAAAATAAATTTCTGTTCTGCATAAGCTACCCAGGCTGTAATATTTTGTTATTGTAGCCCAAATGGATGAAAACATTTCCCTAACCTAATAAGGGAGAAATAAAATTAAAGTCAGCTTATAATAAAATAATATATATTCATGGTAAATTAAATATGTCAGTGAGCTCATTATGTATACACTCAGGCACAACCACAGTAGAACACATGATAACGTGTTCATATGTTTACACCTCCACATAGAATCGCTGTGATAGTAACAGCTAAAAGTGTAGATTGATTTTGGAGACACAAATACCGCACAGGGCACAGGTGTCTGTGACATGATTTTTCTGAAATAGTGAATGATTCTTAGTTAAGTTCTGAACGAAAGCAAGCATAATCCTTCAGTTAACAAGAGGCTGCCTTCCTGGAAGATTTAGCTTATATTAAAATGACTCTGGGGGCACCTGGGTGGCTCGGTTGGTTAAGCGACTGCCTTCAGCTCAGGTCATGATCCCGAAGTCCCGGGATCCAGTCCTGCATCCAGCTCCCAGCTTCATGGGGAATCTGCTTCTCCCTCTGACCTTCTCCCCTCTCATGCTCTCTCTCTCACTCTCTCTCTCTCTCTCTGTCTTAAATAAATAAAATCTTTTTAAAAAAAGATTCTATGATTACATATAAAACAGAATTCTAGACTCTGATAATTATAATCAAAGTTTCACCCACCTAAAATGTACATCTGTATATTTGAGGTTGTGAGGGCCAGGCAAAGAATCTTCAATGCATAAGGCTGCTTCTTGCTTCTAAGGATATCCTGCATCTCTGGCCAGGATCAGCGAGCAAGGGTACGGTGGCTCTAGTTATTAGCTGGTGACATGGAAGAGGACATGTGGCCCTGCTGCACTGCTCATCAACCTAAATCCTATAAAAATTTTTGCTCACCTACGCCCCTCTGGATTCTCCCACTGGGATCCAAACCCTTCTGTGATCCCAGTCCTACACACAATATGCCAGTAGCATGGCACAACCAGAAGTTCCCCCCAACACACAATTTCTAAAATGCCCCAAGTGGTGGGACTGCCTTCATGAGAACTGCTGGTCTTCATTATCAGGAAAAACCCATCTAGAGTTTTGGAAGGATTCCTTATTGCCCAACTGGAGATGTTTAGCAGACAAGATTCAGGAAGAACATATGAGTTTTCTTCAACATCACATACTGAGGTATGGAAAAAACAGATTTATTCTACGTTTCCTCAGAGATCAAACTCGGGGCCAGAGTAGACATAACCACGTGACAGATTTGAGCTTCACAGTCCTTAAAAGCTATGCTTCTGTCAAGCCCTTTCCTGCTCCAAGAAGTTGGAAACTTTTTCCATTGTTAATGATTTTCATAGCCATCCAGTCTCTTTCTTTGGCGTGTCTGAGGAAGGGTGTTGACAAAGGGAGAAAAATGGGGCAGCTCAAGCCAGAGGACTCCTTGCCTGGGACAGAGATTTGAGCTGGGAGACTTCAGACAAGAGGATGACAGGAATAACCACTATGGTTCTATTTACCTCTATGTCAGCTGAACTTCCCTTGCACTTCAGGCCACACATATGTGCCTAGAATGTCACTATGGCTACCAAGTACTCCCGCACCCTAAAAAAGGTATAATGAAACTTGCAGAAGATGCTGGACCAGAGTAATGTCGGGTCCTGTCATGCACCTTAAGGGTAGAAGAAGGTGACACGAAGAAGCCAAGAATGGGGGCTATTTTGGAGTTTTAAGTATATCAACACTTGGGCTTCAAGCATCCTCTGAATATGAGCTCCACTTATTAACCTGTATCTTGGTTAGCAGCTGTTCCCAGATTCCAAGCTGCAGCCCGCAAATCTTTAGCCACAGCCTGTATTCACATTATTT